CCCCGCCCGGAGACGGACCCGGCCACCCCCCGCTCCCCGCACCTACCTGCCGCTGCGGTGCTGCTGCCGCCTCCTGCCAGCTCCCGCCCGCGTCAGAAGCGAGCGGGCGGGGCCGGGGTGGCAGTCGCGGACCCGGAGAGACCGAGCAGCAAAGGAGCTGGGACCGGGAGCGCAGCGGTCCTGGGTCCCCTTTTTCTCCCCCCCCACCCCCAACCCCGCGCACCTCCCCGAAGAGCCCCGATGGCAGCAGGGGCACCCGAGCGGGTCCCTGCTCCCAAAGGATGGGGGGAGGGGTGTCTCTGCTGTGCCTTTACCAGCCCGGGCCGCTCTGGGGCCCCATTGCCCCCAGCCAGACCCCTCTTGCTACAGCAGGTGGGGCAGAGTCCGCTGTGCCTAGGCTCACTCACAGCCAGGGTGGGGAAGCAGCTGTCCCGAGTTTATAGGTATTCGGGGCTCAGTCTTATATTGGCACCTATTAACCCACCACCACCACCCCAATTTTTCACACTGGTTATATGGTCACCTTACAGCCAGCCGCTGCTCAGCCCCGAATGACCTGGCCCCAGCCACTAATGAGGCCTTGTCTGCTTAAGGGAGGGAGGGGGGAAATTTAACCCTACCCTGCCATGAGTGCAAGGGACTTGACAAGATGGCCTACTGAGGTGCCTTCCAGTCCTACACTTCTATGAATTTATATTAAAAGTCCCAAGCCTAGGGGGCAGAGCCACCAGCTAACCCAGCTACTGGCCATGTGTGGCTTGCTGTGTTCACCAGAGATGCAAATGCAGATGCAAAAACTGCAGCTATATCTCCACTGCTACCATGATCAAACCCTGTGCCCCAACATGCCTTTCAAGATCCGTGGATCCTACACATGCCAATCACAACCTGTGGTGTACCTCATCCAGTGCACTAAATTCCACAATAGGAACTATGTGGGTGAAAGCAGCCAATCACTACGCTCTCGAATAAACTCACACAGGAAACTGATAAGACAAAAATACCACATCGCCTGTGAGTGAGCACTTTTCATAACGTGATTGCTCTATAGCTGAGCTATCTCAGTCCTTATCCTCAAAGGAAACCTGCACAACACTTTCAAAAGATGAGGCTGGGAGCTTAAATTCATAATTCTCCTAGACACTAAAAATTATAGACAGAATAGGGACACTGGATTTATGGTTCATTACAACAACCTGTAACCCCCAACTGCATAGGCACCGACTCCATGAGTGCTCTGGGATTAGAGCACCCACAGGGAAAAATTAGTGGGTACTCCGCACCCACCTGCAGACAAGCTATCCCCGCCGCCCCCTGCTCCTCCCCCATGCGTGCCATGTCCCTGCTTCTCCCCCTCCCTCCCAGGGCTTCCCTCCTGCTGTCAAACAGGTGGTGCTTAGGACTTTCCAGGAGGGAAGGGGAGGAACAGGGAGGGGCACACTCAGGGGAGGAGGTGGAGAAGAGGCGTGGCAGGCGCAGGGACTTGGGGGAAGGGGGTGGAATGGGGACAGGGTAAGGGCAGGGCAGGGGCTGGAAGAGGCAGGGTTCCCCCCCACTCTGACATCTGGGGTACAGCTATGGGGACCCACCTGAAAGACCCCTAAATTTATATTCTACCAGCTTAGGTTAGAACTTCCCCAAGGCCCAAATTCCTTTCCTTGTCCTTGGACAGTATTGCCGCCACCACCAAGTGATTTACACAAAAATTCAGGGAAGGGTCACTTGAAATCCCTATGGCCCCCAAATATCCTCATGGCCAATCGAAGTTCTTATGGACATGACAGTTTGTTTTGCACAGATAAATCCTTGACCACTCATAACCTTAAATCCTTGCTTCAGCTGCCAGCGCGCAACTCTCATACTCATGTCAAGCATACCGTCTTTATACTGGGCCCATATGGCCTATAGAATATTACAACATATGCATCACAACAGTCCCCCTTTTGGTACAATCAATGTTACTAATCATGTATCACTTTTATAATTTTGCAAGCTGCTCAGCTTTATATATTACCTGTTCCAAAACTCCTTGTTGTTTTCTTATTTGACAGTACAAACACAGCATGACAAAGATTAATAGAATCATTAACATGAACAATACAACAGGATGCAATGCCACATTCAGGAAGGCCATGGCACTGGGAGACCATTCCTTAAAGACTGTCAATGGTGGACTGTCAATTCTTCCCCTTCTTTTCCTAATTTTAATATTTGATCATTATGCAACAAGATACTTATCTTTCCCAACTGGGCAGATTTAGATACATCAGGGTCAGCAACCTAATGCTTTGGTCTTCATTTAAAAAGATATTAAACTTTATAAACACATGGAATTATCCAAAGGGTTAAATGCTAAATACCAAAGCCACATCATACTAGCTGGCCATGTCTGGCAAAAAAGTCTGTTAATGTTGCAACTTTGGATGTGAGATTCAAATGGAGTTTTAGTGGCATCATTTTTTTATTTAAAGACAAAATAAAACAAACCCAAATTATTTTAAACCTACAAACAGGATTTTACAAACCATGAGTGTTGGTTTAGGTCCTTAAAACCTTGCATAGTTACACAAAAATATTTACACACACAAATTGTTTTTTACCTAATATCCCTTGCACTGCTCTAATTATTTTTTCATAATACTGTACCCAGTATTCTGTTCCCAGTTCTGATGCCACAGAGCCTTGCCTGTGTCCCCATTCCATCCTTCTCTTTTCCAGTTCTCTATTTTGTTTTCCCAGCTGTTCCAACTGAGTCTGCATTACTTGTGCTTGCCATACTTCCTTCTCTAAACTTTCCTGGCAAATGTTAAGACTTTCTTGCAGGGTCTTTAGCCCTGCACATGCCTCCCCCTTGTATTCAATTACCTTTTTCGTAGCCCACAACCATATCACAGCTGCCTGCTTCTTGCTGGCATTAGTCTTGTATAGCTGTACATACTTCTCCAACATGTTTTCTAATGTATCAATTATCACATCAGGTTCCAGTGCACCCGCCCTCCAAGGGCAGGTCCCAAATGCAATAATCTCCTTCCCTAACATAGAAGGGGCTTTAACTTTAATCCATTGGGGTGCCTCCTCTACCCTTTTACGCTTTTTAAACATTATCTGAATAACCTCAAGCGGTATCTCCCCACGCACTCTCACTCACTTAACTACTTAATGTAGCACGTTCCCAAAACTCTACGCAGTATCTCCCCAAGCATACTTTTAATCTCACAAATCCCACAAATAAGGAGTCACCCTTTAGTCTCCCCCAACACTGTGAGACCCCCGTCTCATAATCCAACACTCCTTATATCTCTCCCCCACTTGCAATTCTCCATCAAGTGTTAGGCTCTGATAGAGGCCTCCCTACTGGATGAGGGAGCAGGCAGATACCGGACACAGTGTTGGTATATAATACTCTAAATATTTTTGTTGATTACAATATAAACCTCACTCACTCCACAATCACACTCCTTCCATAGAACACCAGAATCTGAAGATCCAAAGGAAATCCCAATGGCCAGTCGAAATTCAGTCCGATCACAAGGTGTGGGGAGCCCCACATTACACACCTCTTTTCCATGATTTTGGGTCGGTGTCTGACTCCAACTTAGCTATAGCAACAACCTTTTTTATAGACCAGTCCTTCGCATCATTAGCTCTTTTTCTGTTTACTAAGCCTTTCATCCATAACTCCAGAGGAGCAGGTCCGGGCAGGCCACCATAATCCAAGACATTCCATTTTCGCTTATGGACATGACAGTTTGTTTTGCACAGATAATTCTTGACCGCTCATAACCTTAAATCCTTGCTTCAGCTGCCAGCACACAGCTCACATACTCATGTCAAGCATACAGCATTTATACGAGGTCCATATGGCCTATAGCATATTACAACATGTACATCACAACACAATCAGTACGGAGTCCGGTGGCACCTTAAAGACGAACAAATTTATTTGGGCATAAGCTTTCATGGGTAAAAAAAGCCCATCTCAGATGCATTGAGTGAAAGTTACAGATGCAGGCATTATATAATGACACATGAAGAGAAGGGAGTTACCTCTTAACACAGTCAGTTCTTTTCAAACTCAGCCCTTTCCAAATTCTGTTCTCAGTAGGTTTGTATTATGGGGTATTAGCTTTTTTTAAAAAAAATCCCTCATTAAAGTAATTGGTTACGTTTTGGTTGTCTCTCTTTGTTACTAGAATTTTTATCTATCGAAAAGTTGTGTCATTTTATTAGTGGAAATATACAGAATGTCAGTTTCTGAGATTCCTCTTCTTGCTGGAGGACTTTGACAGGGATGCCAGAGGTGGCTGAAATCTGACTTACAGGTCTCCCACTGTCCAGTCTAGGGGAAAGGGAATGGCAACGCTCAATTGGCCATTAAGGTTTAAGAGCTGCAGCTACAGTTTCAGCCTCCATTGATGCCACTGTCCAAGGTCTGATGAAAGTCCTCCAGCTAAGAGAGTCTGGCACCCCATGTTACTGATGTAAAAATATTTTAAGAAAAACACAAGCCTTTCTTTATATCTGAAGATGAAATCTTGGAAATGTTTTGATGGGCTGCCTCCCCCAGAGAAGCAGGGATTACTTGATTTGGAGGCATTTGGGAATTCTAGTTGTGTTACTTCATGCTCAATGACGGTATGCCAGAGCATTTTGGACTCTCAAAGCTATAGTGTTAAAAGGAAGCCAATCGATGACATTCCACTTTGTACCACTTGGCATTCCCCAGGAACCTGGCCAGTGGAACTGTATCGGCTCAGAAACTTGAGTATGAACTTTTGATGCTGTATGTGGTCATTGAACTTGTACTCCTAGTCTTAATGCCTACCAAGTAATCTGAAATTTCTAGTAGGTTGCCTTGGCTCCACCATATTCTGTTAACTAGCCCCTGGATAAAACGGTTACTGACCTTCCATAACTGTTGTTATTTGAGATGTGTTGCTCATGTGCATTCCATGCTAGGTGTGCACACACCATGTGCACAATTGCCAGAGATTTTTTTCCCCTTAGTGGTATCCATGGGGCTGGCCCTAGCGCCTCCTGAAGCCCTGCGCCTATGCACCTGTATAAGGGGTGCTGCCAGTCCCACACTTGCTCAGTTCCTTCTTGCCAGTAGCTCTGACAGAGGGTAGGAGGCTGGGTAATGGAATGTACAGGAGCAACATATCTCAAAGAGCAACATTTATGAAATTTCAGTAACCATTTTTTCTTCTTTGAGTGCTTGCTCATGTCAATTCCATGCTAGGTGACTCAAGCAATCTCTCTGAACGTGGGCTTGGAGTTCATGAATGTGCTGACTGCAACACTGCCCTCCCAAAAACTGGCATCATCATGGGCCTGTTGCGTGATGGCATTGTGGGATGCGAAGGCATAAATCAATGACCATGTCACAACCCTGTAAATGTCCTGGATTGGTATCTGTGCGAGGAATGCTGCTGATGAAGCCTGGGCCCTTTTGGAATGGACTGTCGTGATGGTTGGAGGCAGAACCTTCATAGCAAATCAGGATGCAGGCGGTTATCCAGGATGAGATGCTCTGGGATGACACCAGCACACCTTTCATCCTGTTCACTGCAAAGAGCTGTGTTGACTTTCGGAAGGGTTTAGTTCTTTCAACATAAAAGGTCAGGGGCCATCTATGTCTATGGTATATAGTCAATGTTCCTCATCAGTTCTGTGAAGCTTTGGGAAGAAGACAGGCAGAAAAATGTCCTGGTTGTGGTGGAAATGTGACATCAGCTTTGGTAGGAAGGCAGGGTGGGGATGCAGGTCAGTACCTGAGGCTCAGAGAAAAGGAGAAAACCTCAAAATAAACATATCCAATTGTGCAATGCTATAGATGGAAAATATTTCTTCCTGATACCATGACCATTCCCACTCTATTCAAACAACAGTCTGGAGGTTTTATTACATTTCTCTTATCTTAAAACAGGGTGACCAGATATGCCGATTTTAGGGTCTTTTTCTTATATAAGCTCCTATTACCCCTCACCCCCATTCCAATTTTTCACATTTGCTGTCTGGTCACCCTATCTTAAAAATATGTATGTTAGAGAGAGAGGTATTTCATTGACTGATACAAATACAATTTACCCCTTATGTAAAATATACTGAGCATTTATAAGCACAGTTCTTTGACCCAGTGATATAATTCCTTCCTTTTGTGCTGAACCTGAGAGCACATAAAGTTCATATTTCCCCATACCCACCTTTGATCATAGCCAATTACAAAAATGTATTGCTGCACTTGCTAGAATATCTATAATATAAACCATACTTATCAGACCCTGAGCAAGTTACTTTATTAAGCAGTATTAAAAAAGAATTGATCCTGCAATCAATGCAGTGTCTTCTGTGAAGCTTCATGTATCTATAGTCAATACTTCTAGGGGTTGGATTTGTTAATTTCAAACCAATTACAGATTTAATGTCAGGAGTCAGAGCTCTTCTTTTACATAGCCAACTTCTATCTGCATTGAGAGTTCCCCTTGTCACAGACCTCTAGGCAAGCAAACACTTACACACACACACTTAACTATTTTTGCAAGTAGTTCCATTGTAATCAGGGGGCCTTAAGCATTAGTTTCAGAGTGAAATAACTTTTTCTGGCTAATTTAGAAGACAACCAGTAGATCCACAGGTGGTCAGTACAGTATCCATACATTTAGATATTCAATATTTGATCTCCCAAATTTCACTACAGTTTTCTCTGGCCTGCCCTAGAGGTTGTCATTTCTCACATGACCAATGTGCACTTTGCAACTCTACTCTTCTCTTCATTTCAAGAGCATGATTTTTTCCTATCATTTACAAAAATACAAATTTCCTTCCACCTGTAATCTACTGAAGGCCAATACATTGACTAGTTCGTTGTTGTAAATCCCTGTATCTTAAACATATCCCAGGCCCTTGTGGTCCTCTCCAGTGCAGACTAAATTTCTTACCAGTTTTAGTCAGAACACTTTGGATAAGTATACACAGACTACTCTATTACAACCTGCAAACATTAAATCCTCCACTGTGCCAGGAAAGGTCAATGAAAATCCTGCCTCCTTTTCTCAAAAATAGGTATCACTTCTAAAACTTGCCATCTCTGCTGGCCAGCAAGTGTGGAAATTATACCACCAAATCCCTGCAGTTTGCTTCAAAAATTGACTCAAAACAGTACTGGAAATTTATTAAAAATCAGCTGCAACTATGGCATATATTTTCTTAAAAAACAAACCAAAAAAACCCCACACTTGCTCCATTAACTTAATACTTATACCTGATCAATATTAAACACACTGCTATCACTTCTCATCAATTCTTAGACATTAGGAGATGGAAGAGACTTATTCAATCACCTAGTCTGTCTTTATGCCAGGTCATTGACTGTTCAGTACAGTACATTTTGTAATGCTTCTAGTGAATCTTATTAGATTAGGTTATATCATTTTACGGATGGATTTCCAGCCTTCATAGGTTTACTTTATGCTCCTTGGTGCTTGCCTCATACCCCAAATTAGTATTATCAGTGAAGTAATTAACATTTTACATCTGTTTAATCCTTTGCCCCTCTTCCAGATCATTTAAAATATGTTCAGTAATATTATGCTTAAAAACTAATCACTGTGGCATCTTTCAGCTGAACTGCCTCCATCTTTCAAACTGTTCATATTCATTTAAAAATGTATTTGTTGGGAGTTGAAGATCTACAATTCAGAGTAAGATGAGCTTTTGCAGGATATGCATGGCAATGTCTGACCGTGCTTGGTGGCAGGGTGAAGAGGGTCTAACCTGGGTGGAATGAGTAAGTTCGTGATAAAGAACAGATTAATGAACTGCGCTTTTAACTACTGCAATTGTAGTTAAACTACTAGGCTAAAGACATAAAATATCACTAACAAAACTCAGAATATAAATCTGGACTCAGTTAACATAAAAGATACCTGAATGTTCATCATACTTCATCTGCTTTAATACAGTTTCTTTTCTAGAAACACACTGTTCAAAAAGGGTCTTAAAAGTGCCCTTTCAAAAGCTTATTTTTTCCCCAGAGGTTTCTGCTGTGTTCGGAGCTTCTTTTCTGCTGTCATCATTCTAATGTTGTCATTAATATAACACTGAAGGAATAGTACTGTGTATCCTGCAGGCTAGCTATGCACAGTGGAATGATAATTAATTAGCTTTCTTTAACCTGTGAATGCAATCCTGAAAGGCTTTACGTGAAATCGTCCATTTACTATGTACACAATCAGCATTCTAATAAAATCCACCAAGACAGCTTTCAAAATGCAGCTGCCCAGGGCCATTAAAGTGACATATGCCTCATCTTTCTGTGGTTTGAAAGGTGTTCAAGGCTGTTGGCAGCAAGTGTAGTTCTGAAGAAGTTGGACGTCTGGGTGGCATTCGGTATCTGACATTTTTCCAAAATTTTGTATTTGCTAAATAAGATTTCTCTGTGAAGTCTCCTTTCCATGTGATGGCCCCATGCTTTTGCTTAATGTATTTGATTGATTCTGGCATGTTCGTATAGTCCTTTATTTTATCTAGTTCAATCAGAATAACTTTAATTCCATCCTGGACAAGAGCACTGTACACAGCCAGTTGCTGTTCGAAGATATCCTCTAATAAACTGCAACTTGACGATTCTGGTACTAATACAATTATAAGCCTTCTGCTTTGCTTAATGGTTTCATCAACAACATTGATCACAGCTGTAAAAGACACAAAAAATGATCAACTTTTAGCTCAGACAAAAGAATCTCTCTCCCCCCATTAAAAATAGATATTTACTTTTTCTTATGTCAGCATAATTAAAGTGGCAAACCCCTCTAATATAGACACAGTTATACTGGTATAAAGTGTCTATGCCAGAATAGCATATTCCAGTAGAGAAGCAAAATAAGCTATACACACACTTTTACACAAGTATAATTGTGTCAACACTAGAGAGGTTTTTGGTGGCAAGAAAACCATCCACCTTACCAACATAGCTATGCTGGTAACATTTTTAGATGTGCACTGTAGACCTTACTTTAATGATACAGCTGATTTGTTTTTGTTCTTTTTAATCCATGCAAAATTACCTACCTTTAGTAACTGGAGGTTCTTCAAGATGTGTGGCCCCTATCTGTATTCTACTGTGGATACACATGTTTTGCATGCACCCAGAGCTGGAGAATTTTGAAAGCAGTGTCCGTTGGTCTGCACATGTGCCTTGGCTCACCTTGTGCCACCGACCGAGGAGATAAAGGGCGGGGTGGACTGACTGCCTCTGCAGTTCCTTCTCCACTGCAAATTACAGAAGATCCAAAGCAGAGGGGAAGGAGGGCAGGTAGAGGAACACAGATAGGGACCACCCATCTTGAAGAATCTCTAGTTACTAAAAGGTAAGTAACTTTCTCTTCTTCAAGTGCTGGTCTCTATGGGTATTCACTGTTGGTGACTGACACGCAGTACTCAGATAGGAAGAGGGTGAGAGGTTGTAGATGGCAGAACCGAATGAAGGACTGAGATTCCAAAAGATGTATTGGCAGAGGAGTCCTGTACCAAGGCATAGTGTCTTACAAACATGTGGATGGAGCCCCTTGTAGCTGCTTTGCAGGTATTGAGTAGCAGCACCTCTTGAAGTGATGCCAGAGATGCTGCTTGCCCTCTTGTGGAATGAGCTCTTACCCTAGGTGGGGGGATGGGACAATTAAACAGTCAGATCCATTTTGAGATTCTTTGAGAGGATATAGTCTGATCCCAGTATGTCCAGTACCAAGGGTGGGGGTTTTACTCAAGAGCAACCTTCTCTATCACTTCCCACTGTAAGAGGGATTCCACTTTGAGAATCTTATCATGAGAGTGGCCCTAAGAGGGGGTGAGGAAGGAGGTTTTGGAGGGGGGAGGGACATAAACTCTATCATACAGCCAGAATGGATGATGTTCAGCACCCATTTATCCATTGTACACCAGCTGTTGAAAAAGAGTGCTAGACAACCCCAAAAAGTGTGTGGGAGTAGGGAGATGTTGGACTTAGCAGTCTGCAGGTGCCAGATCACAATCTGGTGTCAACGGAGCCCTAGACTTATAGGCTTTCTTGTCATGGCTCTGAGACTAGGTTGTCTTGGGCTGAGCTTATAGACTTGCTTAGTTTAGACAGGGCTGAATCCGACTTCTTCAAAGTGGATTTGGAAGAGGACTTAGCCTAATGCTCCCTACTCTCCTAACAAGACCCCATCAAGAGATCTGTGGGGGTAGACTGCTTTGCTCCTGAGTCAGACTTCATGGCAGGAGGTGCACTCTTAGCAGAATCAGGCTGATGTATGCTGGGGGAGGGAGGGAATCCCCCAGCCTGGTCTGATTGCTGCCTCATGGCCTTTTCTATTAGGTGCTTCCTATGGCAAAGTTCCTGCCCTTGCCACGATGTGGACTCCCCCAAGGCAGCACACGCAGCATTGGTGGTCGTCACTGACTGAGCAGGATTGCAGGGAGGAAGCACAAATTTTGAAGCCCAGAGTTCTGGGCATAGTCCAGTACCCAAATTGGGATGGGGGAGGGGGTGCTGCTCCCCAGGTCGGGAGAGACTAACTAAATAACCATAAAACACTAAAACTACCAGATAAAAACTTTAAAATTCTAGAACTACAAAAACTATTGACAGATATCTATTAATAAATAAAAGAGAAAGCCAATGCTTTGGACTCTAGAGATTCTGAGCTGGACCATGGTGAGAAGGTTATGGAGAGGCACTCGGTCCGCCTCGCCCTTTACCTCCTCAGTCAGAAGCACGAAGTGAACCTGGGTGCATGTGTGTGGACCAAAAGACCTTGCTTTCAAAGTCCTCTGGCTCCGGGTGTATGGAGTGAACGCGTATCCACAGTGGACTACACATTGGGACCAGCACTTGAAGAAGAAAGTCTATTGCTAGTTTTCACTACCCCAGATGAAAATCATCAATTAAAAATGTTACTAAAAACAAATTCTCTCGATTTAAAGATTTCTTTCAGAAATATGAATTCTACAATTATAACTAGTAACAAAAAAATCCATTTTGCTTTGTATCCATATTTCAAAATCAATTACCTCAGACGCATTTTTTTACTTTGTTTTAATATAAATGTACAGTACAAAATAAGAGCAAGTTAACAATGAAAAACTGTCTTATCTATACTAAGCAAATGTGATCGTGCAGAAGTATTAGAAAGAGAACACATTCAGTACCAACTGGTTAGGTTTTATTGTACTAAAACCAATCAACTTCTTGATGTTCTATATCATACCAGATCTCTCTCTCTCTCTCTCTCTCTCTGAGATTACTAGCAGATTAGCCTTTCCTCCCTCCCAGAGCACTGCTCTTCCACTTTTTCTGGTCTTAAAGGTAACAAGAAAGAGTTGCTCCTATTATGCCAAAAACACTCTATTCCGAACTCTGCCCATAGACACGTTGCAGAGAGATTTAGGAGTAGAGTGCCAGCTAGTTGGAGACGTGTGAAGCACATATATGGGAGCACAAGAAGCGGCACTCACATCTACAGGGTATGGGGAAAAGGTGGAGTATGTCATAGGGAAAGGTGAAAAGGGCAGGTGGAAGCAAACTTCACTGAACATTCTCAGAAAGAGGCAAAGGTACCCAAAATTTCAAGGGTTTGTCTGTATTGGGGGGCAAGTGGGGCCAGCAATTAAGTTCCCCCTACAAACAAAACGGTGCAACTGAAGGATCCATGGAGGAGATGAAAAAATGAAAGGGAAACATGAGATGGGGGAGGAGGAAATAAAGAGGGAAAGAAAAATCAAATGTGAAATGAAAGAAAATGAGGAATCAGGGGAAGACTGCAGAGGAGGAACAACAGGACAAAAAACATTGAATAGAGAGAGAAGAGAGAGAAAACCAGAGATGGGATAACAAAAATATGAAACCAATACAAGAATCAGATAGAAGAGGAGAGTATATCCTGCCAGGACCAATGCTTTTTGGTCCTGGCAGGATATACTTAGGACACAGTGCTAGAACCAGCCCTTCTTGAAGCATTGAGAATTCAGGGACTATGGGGAATGCTGCTAATACTTGATTGGAAGTGGGAATTAACAGAGGTTGGGTGTGAAGTCTTACATGAATTTTTCTTGGGAGAGGGACCCTGAACCTTCCCCTTTCTAGATGTAGTATCCAAAACCTTTAGGCAAGCTACTCTCTTCCCTTGACCTCTCTCTACTGAAGTTCAGCTTGGAGACACACTGGATTTTGTTGCCAAGTGGCCTCCTCTCCTCCCACTAGTAGTTCCATTCCAACCTAGCTCCAATTTAAAATATTTCAGAGCATCTATATTCCCGAAATTAATATTATAAAAATTGGTGCCTTACTCTCCTGCCTCTATGTCATGATGTGACCCATGGGACCATATTGATGTGAAACTTTCCTGCCCTGCTCTAGTATTCAAAGAGAATGATGAGAAAACTCACCCAGTTCTACTTTAAAGGCAATGAGAGAATACAATCATTTTTCATTTTACCTTTTCCTGGTAAATCATCTCTTCCAAGTATAAACAGATTATAGCCACACTGTCTCTCTAAAACCTCAGGAAGCAGCTTTAGCACAAAGTTATCTGGTGTGTAGATGCAATCTACTCTGTTGATTTTTGGATACAATACATATGCATCATAGATCTTCCCATCTGAAACTGAACAAGATAGAAGCAGTGAGATTTGTAAGACAAAATTTATTTTAAAGGAATGAGAATATTTTCCCACCTTTTCTATTTTAAACTTTATTGCATGAGTTAATTGTTTGAATAGAACATATAAATAACCACAGGTTAATAATAAAGCAATCTTTGTTAAATGCTGAAAAAAATACCACCAAAATTAACTGCATTTAATTATTCAGGCAAATTTAAAATTGCCCAAATTTACTGTTTTACTACCTATCTAGAATGAAAAATACTAAGAGTTGCAAGACTGGCTAGAAGTTCTTCACTGCTGCCTTAGTGCAGTGGTTCTCAACCGGGGGTGTGCATATCCCTGGGAGTACTCAGGAGATCTTCCAGGGGGTACATCAAGTCATCTAGATATTTGCCTAGTTTTACAACAGGCTACATAAAAAGCACCAGCAAAGTCAGTACAAACTAAACTGTCACACAGACAAGGACTTGTTTATACTGCTCTATAGACTAGATCAGCGATCCTCAAACTGGGAGTGAGTTCATTTCAATGGGGTCACCCGAGCCAGTGTTAGACTCACTGGGGCCCAGGGCAGAAAGCCAAAGCTCAAGCTCTGCTGTGCGGTGCTGAAGCCCGAGGTTTTAACTGAGGTGAAACGTGGGGTACGCAAGACAAAAATCAGACTCCTGAAAGGGGTACTCTTCCGGAAAGGTTGAGAACCACCCTGATTTCTGTTTTAACATTGAGCCAGAAACTACCTTATCACATTATCACCTTGTCAGCTGCAGAAGTAGCTCTTGGTGACATCAGCCTTTCATTACAAGAACTGCTCTGCAGCTGTAAATATTGTGTAGTATGCATGTCTCGCAGTTAGAAATCGTTTCCCTGCAAAGCAGAGAGCAGATAAACCTGAAAAAGGTTTGTTTCTAGCAGATTTACATACCTGCTTCACTACCTACACAAGCCAACGTCTGGTAGCTTACATATATAAGGCATTTCACACCCTCTGTTCAAAGTGCATTTAAGCCCAGATTTTCAAATGGCAGACTTCTTTTTTTGTCAGAGCCCATTTTGCACTTTCAAAGACTGCACACACATTTTTTTTCACCTTCAATGAATATTAGGTTCACATCTTACAGTTAAAATTATAATGTTTTCCAACAAGCACACTTTCTCCCATCCTGTTCCAATGCCTCATAGGAGTGCCATATCAATATCTACAAAAGTATCACATTGTCCTCTTTCGAACCCCTCCATCTCTGTTATGATACTTACACTGGACAATGATTAGAACAGTGGTGTTCTGTGATCGCTGCTTATCATGCTAACCAGTATCATTCCATTGGTACCTTTGTGTTCCCCTTGACTGTCTATCATATCCACCTGTTGTCTATGGAGTCTTAAATTGTGAACTATTCAGTGCAGAGATGGTCATAATTTTGCTATATGTTTGTATAGAGCCTAGCAGAAGGGGTCTCTGGGCTTCTAGATATTACCACAATACAAATAAAAATGACACCACCAAGATGGCTGTACTGAAGTACTTCGGCATCTAAAAAAGGGGATTTGCACTCATAACTGATTTTGCGTAAAATACGTTGGAGAAGTTTGTGTCTGCAAAAAAAGGACACTGAGTAGAAGCCCTTTTAAAAATCTGGTACTCAATCTTTTCATCGTCCATATTGCAAACACAACGCAACACACAGATGGAAATTCCAAACAAGCTTGCTTATTCAGGGACATTTCCTGCATCTGCTCCCGCTTAAAAAGGCCACACAAAATAAATGTAGCTTCTTATTCTCTTAAGAATTCTTAATGAATCCTGGGATTGTATGCCATGTACATTAGCTACATGGCTATACACACCTACCTTCTTTACTCAGAAAAGGGCGACAGGATTTTCGATACCAAAGCACAATGTCAATCTTGAAATACTTGTAGATTAATATGGCAACAACTATTACAAACACTGGTGCAAGGAGTCCTCCAATCAAGTATCCTTGAAAATTTCGAACTACATCAGCAAGGGAAAAATATGTAATATATTGAAATGGCAGCATTGGTGAAGTTAGGAACATTCAAACAAAACTGTGTAAAATTCTGAAAATAGAGCTATTTTAAGTTGTCTAAAGACAGTTATAACTGTGTGAATAATCCATAATAAAAATCTGACCTCTCTCTCCTCTTTTTCTGTTCATGAATTTTCTGCAAACTGATCATGACTTTCTTGAATGTATTCATTATTCCAAATAATTGCTGACAAATAATTCTAGGTCTACAGCTTGTCTGTAAGCAGTTCACTGAAGGTATTCAATACTTGAAATTTATGCCATCTTGACTGGACAGATGGGAACATGGAACGCTTTGGTTCTCTGGCTGGAGAAGCACCATTCTCAGAACCAGATGTCTGGCGTAAATTCAGAATTTGCTTTTCCATATGTATCCATTGTCTTACCATTGATGTTTTGGTGAATAATCCTATCAGTAAATCTATAGTAACTCCTTTGACATTAATGAAGCTACTTCCAGATTTACAATGATTTTATAGCCACTTTCCTGCCGATTATCCCAAATTTTCATACACCCTTAGTCTGTCCCTTTTCAAAAAGTGTTCCCCTCGTCTCCTTTTTAAATTAACTCCTGACTGCGAGAGCAGTTCAGAACATTATTAAGACTGAATGCCTGACCTGGCCGTCTTAATGCAATGTAGGCTGCAACTTCACCAGCATGACACACAAACTGACGTCCATAATCCTCCTGCTTCACTTCTGTGATGTTGAGCGTCACTGTAGAGAATAAGTACCCATCTGGGAAAGAATCTTCTCTATCCAAAAAGGTAATGAATAATTAAAATAATAAAAGCCACATTAGGCAGGTTTCTTCATTTGAAAACAAAACAAGACAATGGTTATATTTTATCTTCAGCAATGTCTGAAATGTGCCTTAATCTTTTCGAAACAGACAGATATCTGGAGTCTATGATTATATATTATCTGAATTACAGATGTACCTCGGAACTCCAGTCAAGAGCATGACCTCATGTGTAGACACATTGAGAGCTCCTAGTGCTGTCTCCCAATCAAAATAGACTAGATTTACATACATCTAAGAATCTTATTCATGCTATCATTGCCCAGTGAAAGAAAAAGACATGAGGCAATTCTATATAGAGACAGTGCTGCCAACTCTCATATTTCAAACAATCGATTTGTAAGCATATAGAGGATAATACAGGGATAAGTAATAGCCAGCTTGGATTTGTCAAGAACAAACCACACCAAAAAAACCTAATTTCCTTCTTTGACAGGATTACTAGCAAAGTGGATAAGGGGAAAGCAGTAGACATAATTGAGTATGAGCCAACAATGTGATGCAGTTGCGAAAAAATGCTAATATTCCGGGGTGCACCAACATGAGTGTTGTATGTAAGTGACAGGAGCTAATTGTTCCATGCTACTGGGCACTGGGGAGGCCTCAGCTGGAATACTGTGTCCAGTTTTGGGAGCCACACTTTGAGAAAGATGTGGACAATTTGAAGAAAGTCCAGAGGAGAGCAACAAAAAACAATAAAAGGTTTAGAAAACGACCTATGAATAAAGGTTTAAAAAAAAATACACCTGGGTATATTTGAGAAAATAAGACTGAGGTGGGACCTGGCAGCAGTCTTCAAACACAGTCAGGGCTGTTACAAAGGGGACACTGATCAATTGTACCCCTTGACCACTGAAGCTAAGATAAGCAGTAATCAGCTTAACCTGCAGCAAAGGAGATTGAAGTTAGATAGTAGGAAAACCTTCTATCTGTACATTTAGGTAAGTACTGGGATAGGTTACCAAGGGAGGTTGTGGAATCCCCATCATTGGTTAATAACATGTTAGACAAACACCTCTCTAGGATAGTCTAGGTCAGTGGTGGGCAAGCTGCTGGCCACATGCGGCCCGTCAAGGTAATCCGCGGGCAGGCCGCCAGATATATAGTTTGTTTACATTTGCAATGGCCACCCACAGCTCCCACTGGCCAGGAACGGCAAACTGCGGCCACTGGGAGCTTCAGGCAGCTGTGCAAATGTAAACAAAATGTCTGGCAGCCTGCCAGCGGATTATCCTGACGGGCCGCAGGTTGCCCACCACTGGTCTAGGTCCTCCATCAGCATGGGGGGCTGCACTAGATGACCTCTCAAGGTCCCTTCCCTACCCTATATTTCTATGATTTTATTACAAAGTCTCATGATATTTGGCATTTTTCTGAAAGCCCCAGCTTACATAATTGAATACATTACTTGAGAATCTCAGTCTTCACTTAAAAAGAAAAAAATTATAGCCCTCATAGCTGAAGAGAAAAGCTTAAAAATGTGACCCAAGTGCACACCAAAAACCAAAAGGCATATAGAAAGAACCCCAAATCTACTTTTATAAATCTCATTTTTATTTATTTATTTATTTTTAGACAATTTTGCTATTTTGGAGGACCTAACTCATGATTTTTGTTTCAGAGTAGCAGCCGTGTTAGTCTGTATCCGCAAAAAGAAGAACAGGAGTACTTGTGGCACCTTAGAGACTAACACATTTATTAGAGCATAAGCTTTTTTTGATTTTTGAGATTTTTGAACTCTCAGGGTTGGCAAAACTGCTAGTATTCTATTTTCTAAAAAGCACATGAGGTTTCTATATGCAGCTGTTGGACAGATTTGCTTCAGTCATACACTTAACTTCCAGGAATATTTTTCTTGGGGTAGAGGGTAAAACCAATGCACACTAGTGATGCTTGGGTGATGCCATGCCCAGTGAACAGATATTTTGTAAAGCAAAATGTTCCAAAGTACCCATGTTATTTTTTCTCCTAGGTCTATTGAAGTTTAATAGGATACTAGTTGTCCAAATTAGTCTCTAAGAAACACAGAATTAGGATCCTGCCTGGGAAGCCGAGAGAGGCATTACAAACACTAAGGATATTTTCATATACTGCAGTCAGTGATCAACTGATATACATTTTTATATGCAAGTATACTTACTGATTTCCCTCTTGGACTCTCCCCATAAACAAAAAATTGACTAAAGTATTATTGACTCTCCAGGATATTCCAATTGAATTATCTTTAAAACTTGATACGTTGCAGTCCACAACAACATTGGACCCTGAAAAATACCATTAGAAAATGGCCATGAGATACCGTTTACTCTGCATAGTCATGAGATCCACTCATGTAAAGGTTGCTAATGTTTCCCATGCTCCAACACCAGTAAATATGTAAAGAGCAATCTGACAGAACAAAGGAGGCAGTTTGCAGAATTATGAAGCTTTAGCAGATCCCTTGTCAAACGTTTGTTTTACAAGAGCTAACCTAGCAAATTATAAATAGCCCAGTCAATTAATCCCTTCAGAGAATAAATATGTTAATTCTATTCTGAACAAAATGACCATAATTGCCTCTTAAATTTGACATATCTATGGATGAAATAATGTTCTCTCAGGTTTATGGCTTCAGTGTAAAGCTTGAAAAGGTCATAGCAGAAAATTCATAAAAGAACGAATACAAAACTCTTCCATCCACAACAATTAGGAGAGGTTTAAATATATTACAAACCTTGTCATTTTCTACATTTGGTCCAGATACAGCAGATCACTAGGACAAAATCAGTTGCTCTTTATCATGCAAAAATTTTCTTGAAGTGTGCTGGACAGATCTTATTGTAAAAGACATAACACCATATTTGTTGAAAGTAGAATTCCAGAACCACTTTTTATTATTGTTGGTATAGCACCAAAAGTGAACTAAATGCTTTTTCACACAAGTATGAAGACAAGAGCTACTCCTGGGGGAAGTCTGCGCCTAAAAATTCTGTACACAATATTTTAAAATTCTGCAAAATTATGCATATTTTATTTGTCAAAATAACAATATAAACACACCAGTTTCAATTATTTTGGCAATTTATTTCAAAATACCGGTCAGCAAGTATGTCTGTAACAATACAGACAAAAAAAAGATTCAGGAAATGGTGGGGTTTTTTTTGACAAATAGATTCCTTACTAGGCATACTAATACAGAACTTTGAGTAATTAATTTAAACTACAATACAGAACTGTATTTCTGCACCCCATGGAAGCAGTGCAAAGACCTGGGGGAGCAGGAAGGAGCCTCGGAGTGTTGTTGGGTGTGGGTGGGAGAAGTATGGAACAGTTTATTTTACGGGCAGGATTCTTAGGGAGTTGGGGAGCCTCTCCCATGCAGACCCCAAGGCTCTCCCATTCAGACAGGCACATCTGCCCCCGTTAGGGTGACCAGATTAGTAGTATAAAATATCGGGATGGGGGCGGAGCAAAAAAAAGGGGGAGGGCGGAGCAAAAAAAGGGGGGGGTCGGAGCAAAAAAAAGGGG